CATTTATGATCGTTTTGTGCGGGGACGCGTAACGGCGCGCAGGTGGGCCTGATTGTTGCTCCGTCTTAACTGGAGCACGTCCCCCTAGCTACGAAGGATCGCATGAAACCAGTTATATAAATTGTTTAAGGATCGTTTCATTGTGTCTCACACCAGATTGTAATTTTCTTCAAAAAACCACATCTCTGTAGTGAAGAGATTAAAAGAGAAAAAGAAAGTAGAAACCTTTTAAGATCTGCGCAATCTTGACGAAATTTTATTTGTTGCAGTTTAAAAAATTTTGTATCGTACAAAAATTATTTTTCATAAGATTAATAACTAATTATTTTAATATTGAATTTTGACATTGAAGATGAGCTGATAAGAGCCGAAATGTATATATTTAGAATATTGGTACAATTTTTAGCATTAACATATCTAGCTTAATCTGTTATTGCTGCTCTTTGATTTTTAATAATTTTATTTTTTGTAATAATAAAATAATTAAATAGGGGCAATGAAAGCAATAAATACGGCCGTAATTAATGCGCTTTAATAATACTATATTATATATAGTATAATTATTACATTATAAATGGGACAAACTATTTGGGTTTGTCATACATTTCGGTTTATCTCAAACTATCTTCTGCGATGTTCAATATAAATTTTCTTTTGGAGTGCAATACATTTAGATATAAATAATGAATAAAAATTTCATAGTATATAAGAGATGACCTTTATCTTTTCTTGAAAAATATTAAATTTTTTCAGTTTTTCAATCAAGTGATCATTGCATCTATAGATCACGAGCAATCAACAATTTAAAACGTAAAAATATGATATAATATTTTAAATTTAATAAAAGAATTATATTTGAAATTATACATATATAAATTTTATATTATTCGATGGAAGTCAATAATAATTATTTCATTATTTGAATTTCGAGAACTTTACAATCTAATATTTTAATGTTTTATTTTTGTTGTATTATATAAATAATATAAATATTCTCTTTCTATCACAAGCAAAAAAATCCTATTAATTTTTTTACATACAAAAAACATATTAAAAAGAAAACAAATATATCAGATATTCGATCAGTAAAAAATTAATAATAAAATTAAGAGAGAAAAAGATGTGTGTAAAAAATTATATAAACAATTTACTAATAGAGATAAGTCTATTAATAACCGTTTCTTAATCTCATATCAGGTTAATCATTTTTATTATAGCTAAAAGCAGTAAACTATAAAATAAATGTAACATTCAAAAATAATTTAGTATTTTGAGAATTAATACTTCAATTGCCAACTTCAACCGGCCACTTGTCGTTCTAAATTCAAATCACGTATTTTCGTGGTCACCCAGTAACCTTAGTCGGCAGCAGGAAATAATAATCATTGTCGATTATTAATGGGACCTCCATCGTCGCCGACGCGTCGTACCGTACCGGAGAAAGTTTCGGGACGACGTTCCGTTATGTACGCGGAACGAGGATCACGTAGAACAAACGCGGAATCTCAGGTGGGCCTCGAACCGGAGCCCTAAGGAGGTAGACCGGTGTTTTACAATTTTGCGATGTAGGTCAATTGTCGTGGCGTTTAATGATTCTGCGGTGTCGATCGGAGTCGATCAGAAGTTTCGTTCTTGGAAAAGTCGGGAGTTGGCTGAACAACCGGTCGTTCCTGTTCTTTTCGTCCAGGAATTGATGGAATACGATATTCCTCTGTTAGTCGTGACATTTATCGGACAAGCCCAACGACACAATCGTCACAAAAAGTTTTGTTGCTCACCACGTCTTAATTTACTAGCAGTAATTAATAAAAAATATGTATTATAAAATGTTAATTAGATTGCATAAGCTGATAAAAAGTGAAGCTCAATAAATAATTAAATTTTTTTATTTCTGTTGATCTCTGACTGATTCGATGGAAGATATAAAATTTTCTAATATAAATAAAACATAGAGTTGTGAGAAAATAAAAAAGAATTTTTTAAAGTAACACGTTATGCATTTAATGCAATTATCTCGAAAGCGACGATTATTGCGTGAATAATGATAAATTTCCAAGAGAGATAAATTGCATTAAGAATAAATTTATTTATTTATTCAGTTGTTTGCTGATCTCGATTTAACAGATAAGACTTGAGATTTTCTGATATAAATAAAATATAAAATTGTAAGAAAATAAAACAAAATATAAAATCTTTTGTAGTTACTCTTTATGCGTTTAATGCAATTATCTTGGTAGCGAAGATTTTCTTTTTGGGTGTGGCAATAATCTTCGCTTTCAAGATAATTACATTAAAAATAAATAAACTAATTTCTTTTATTTAATTTTTTTAAATTGTTGCTGATCTCGATTTAAGATAAGACTTGGGATTTCTAGTACAAATAAAGCATGGAATTACAAGAAAAAACAAAGCATAGAATCTTTTAAATGATACGTGCGCTTTTAATGCAATTATTTTGAAAGTAAAGATTTTCGCAGGAGTGACACAATCTTTCTTTCCAAGATAATTGCATTAGAATTAAACTAGTCCTTTTATTAGATTTTTTAAAATTTCTTAATTTGACAGGTAATACTTTTCTAAATTTCGTGATTTGATAGAAAATGGCTGGAACTTTTTGATATAAGTAAAACATAAAACATAAAAATAGTTGAATATCGTCAGAATGTCCATTTAAAAATACAGATTATTATTTTTGAGTCACGCATTGGTCGCGCTTAACTCATCCGTTTGTGAAGTTCCGACTGGCAAGCGAACTCATGGATCACGTCGATCTCCATGCGTAGGTGTCACTCACGAACTGGTTTGAAGAGTGGCGCAATACGTGTGCGGGTTCGATGAACCTAACGCTCGTATTATATTCTTGTGCGCGTAACAATTTTTCATATTAATTGCATCGCATTTGAATCCTGTCCTCATGTCACTAACACGTGACGTCCGCCCACATTCCAAATGCACATAGAAAGAACGATTTTGCCGAAAAAAATTTAGATACTTAGTACTGAGAAAAATATTGATCTGATTGAAAATGGACAAATCAAAAGATTCTAATTATATCAGAATTCTGATTATAATTAGAATTCTAGTACTTTATTTGAAAATTTTGATTCGTCCATTTTCAACTAGAATCCCAATTAATCCAAGATTTTTTCTCAGTGTTATTGATTTGAAAATAACTTTATTGAGCTAACAAAAAAAATAATTATGCAGGAAACTTAAGCATGCTAAAACTCAAGCAAAGTTTAACGTTCTAGCAATCAGCTTGAGTGTCCTGCATAATTATTTTGGTAATTCAACAAAATTACTTATATTACAGATCCACAAGGGATGTCCAGATGATATCCATATTCTCTGAACATTCTAAGGGCGTTCCTAAAACATTTCTCAGATAAAATATGCTGTAAGGTATTTTTAGGTCTGTAGTTAGCTAAATTTTTAGATATTTCAATTTTCTTTCAAAATCGTTCTTTTCATGTAGAACAGACATGATCGAAAAATTTGTATATCTTTACAAAAGTTAAAATTCTGTATTGGGAAAAATGTATACTTGAATTGATTGGAATTCTGATTGAAATTGAACGAATCAGAATTTTTTGATTAAATCAACTGGAATTCTAATTGAGATAACTGGAATTCTGATATAATCAGAACTGATTCATTTTTAACCGGATATTTTTCTCAACATGTACTACACAAAAGGTTTGATATTCCAGCAGCCAACTCTTAAACATTCTACATTATTTTTATAATCCAACAAAATTATCACGCAGAACATTTTATCCTGGGAACATCATTAAGACGTTCGGGGAATGTACAGACTTTCAAGGAACGTCCTAAAGACATCTAGAGAACATCCTAAGGATGTTTCCAAGATATATTTTGAATAAAGTGTACTGCACTGAAAGAAAAGACAACAACTAATTTTTGATTGCTGCAGCAGCCAATCTTTTCTTCCAGTATCATATATGTATTCTCAGCTTTGTATCTAGCTAAACCTTAAACACTTGAGCAAAACCGTTCTTTCCATACAGGATACACATGATCAGAAAAATTTTACATTCTCCTGTAAAAAGTTGAAATCTGATATCAACATCGCACTACGTCGCGTTTTAGCCTTGTAGTATTAATAAATAATACTTTCGCGCTGAATTGCAAAGATCGAAGCGTATATCACAGAATGCCGGAGAATGTAGTTCCTGCCGCGCTTATTCATAATTATTGCTGTTCACATCCCGGCACACCCGGTGCGTCCAGACATTAGGAAACATCGTGTCACGCGAACCAACCTCGTTATATCATCAGCTCCAATGCTCATGCATGATGCATATTCTTCTCTGGTATCGCTGTATCTTCCCTTCTCATTGCTTCACAATGGATCCCGGAATTTTTTCCCCTTTTTGAGTCACGCGATCAAGCAACGATACGATCCAATGATGCTGCCCGAGTCGCTCGAATACGGCCCTGTTATCAGACTCTCGATAGCACGGCGGAGTTCCGGAGAGGAGCACGCTGCACCTGGGAGGACTGCACCATATGTAACCCTGCATCCGCGATGTAGCTGCAGTTTGCTAATCTGGCAACGTTGTGTAGAAGCCGGTCTTATGGGCGTAGCTACGATTTTCGGACTCGAAAGCGAAGTCTTCCGACGGAGATAAAGCCCTTCCTTGAGGATCATCCTGTTCTCTGATCATTGTATCTTCATAGGAGGAAAATATCGTGACGCTTAAGACATTTTCATGTGCAGTTTAACTTTAATGGAATCGAGAACCTTCCGGGCCGGAAAGTGTTGCTTTCAGTCACCGTGTCCTGTTGTCTACGTTCCTGATTTTCTCTCACCTGTTACTTGTCCTCTCCCCCTCCCCTCCTTCTCTCTCGCCCTCCATTTAGTTCTCTTTTACCTGCTCGCTTTGCGTCGTAGTTTCTCCTGCTCTTTGGTTCCCTACCTTTATTTGTTGTTCTCATTCTCCCTCTCTCTGTCTCTCTCTGTCTTCCTCCATCGGTTGCCTTGGCCATATTCTCTCTCTCTTTCTCTTTCTCCTTCTTTCTCTTTCTTCGTGGGCTGACTCACTCTCTCGATCAGGTAAACGTAAACCTGCGCTGGCTGCCACTTCATGTCCGATTCCTGAATCAGTCGCACAGGCACTAGCGAGTCGAGCGCTCCTCGTGTTGTTCTCTCGATCGGGCCCCACGATTGTCACGATTCGTCGTTGATCCTTCAATACGTAGTCCAGAAATTACGCGGACCACGACTGGATTCTAATCGTTCAGAGCATTTCCTCAGATTTAGCAGGTATTTATCGGAGTCGAACTTTGGAAAGTTTGCTCTTTCATCACAAAAATATTGCAATACTTAATCAACATCTAAATATTTTTAAATATTTTAAATATTCTAAAACACCTTTCTAATCAAAATTTTGTTCTCGTGCCCTTCAAATTTTTTCATTTATTAACTTTGTAAATATATTCGATCGACGCTGTTTTATATCATTACTTATATAATTATTTATATCTATCGATGGTACCGCGATTTACTGTAAATTTTGCTGCAAGTTTCGTAGAAATTTTATATTTTATATTTTACAAATAATTTGATACGAGATTTTATCATACTGCTCATTTGCTATAATGACACAAATAAAACAACGAAGTTTTTCCGAAGAAAATGAGTTTCATGTTTTGAATCATAATAATTTTAATATAATAACTGATTGTAGATAAAAATCTATTTTTTTCTTAATTATGTTCTTTCTGCTTATCTTCATATTTACGTTTTTTTTTTTTGATAAATAACTAAAGAATAAAATTTTTCAGAAGATGAGTTTTCATGTATTGAATCATTAAAAAATCATTAAAATTTTGTAATATTAATTTTTTATATAATTATAATATGTAAGTATAATTAATTTTTTAATGCAATTTTAATATAATAACTGATTGTAGAAGATTAAAGTATGTTTTTTTCTTAAGTATTCATTATACAGATTTACGTTTTCTTTCTGTAAACAGATAACAAAATAACATTTTTTTAATTATGTTGCTTTAACAAATGAGCAATATGTAGATATAACAAGATTGCAATATGCACGTAGAACGTAAAATATTCCACGTATAGGGAAGTGTGTAAGGCTAAATGTCGATTGACATTCCGCATTTGACGTTTGCATCATTCGCCATAATGTAAAACACAGTTCCGTCTTTGTCGTTGACTTTACTTGGGCTTTGAAATCGCGAATGAACCGTTGTCATCGCGCAGCGATTTTTTTCGGAGCGAAACGTGACGACTTGCGGTAAAATGCAACGTGTTTGAGTAATTCTTTTCGAGAAATGAGACGAACACATTGCATAGTGATAATTGTTAAGCTGTAAAAACAAGTCTTTTTGGACGAGTCGAGTCTTTTTTCGGTAGATTTATTGCTTATTAGTACTAGTGAACACCGTCCCGTTGACAGAAACAAGATATCTAGCACATCCATATAACTCGCAGAATAAAAGAATCTATCGATTTTAATCTTGAAAACAAAAGGTAGATGACAAGAATCAAAATTTCTTGGAAACACACATGTGATCTCTGTAAAATTAATGTATTCCATCAAGAAAATTAAATTATTCCATAATTTCTCATATTTAATTAATCGGAAACGATTTATTGTCCAACGTTGCAGTTATTATATTTAAAAATTTTATTAAGTTAAAATTTTTATTTTTCGAATTATTTAAATTTTTATATCCGACATTTTTATTCTCGATTATTATTATTTTCTAATTGACAAGTAAAATTACATTTTTATCTTCAGAAATTTCAATAATGCGCTAACATGTTATCACCGGAAGTATTAGTATACTTTAAAATTCTCACTTTTGTCGTTACTGATATTAATTTAGAACATTGGGACTTGCTCAGCTCTCCTTGTAGTCACACGGTGTAGTAATTACACGGAATTAGAAATTTCACGCAATACCGAATACGCTCGCGGTTCGTGTTTCGCGTGATTACGCCGCCTCGATTAGGAAACTGCGTCACGCTTGATGAAATCTAACTGTGGCGATTAATCAGCGAGAAGGCGTACTGATGATAATCCTATGCGCGAAACACCGTGAGTGCAACAGAAATGCACATGTGTTCATATAATGGTCGATAATAGAATCGCTGCATGAAACTTGTTGGATTTCGTACAGATCCCTTGTGAAAAATGTATTCCGCATGTATGTATTCTGATCGTAATAGAATCGCCTAGAATAGAAATCCTGGAAATTCTAAAAAGGTTTGTGCACTCAAGAATAGATTCTGATATGTCAAGACGTCGTTCCCTTCAAAAGTGACACAACTCAAAAAATTAAGCTCTCCAGAAAAATGAAAGAACTACTTTTCAATTGTTGACTAATTAAATATTATCGGCAAAAAAATATAAGTGTGTTTCTAAATAAATGCAAAAAATTTTAGATGATTCTTTGAAAATGAAGAGAAGTCTCTCATGTAAAATTATACTTTTATATTCCTTTGAGGGATCAATTTTTCTGAAATAAAGAAAGGAATCCGATTTTCCTTCCTAAAATATCTTGTTAAAAACTTATTTTTGCTTATTTCTATCAATGAATGATAGATGAACTTTAATTTCGATTGAATTTTTTGTTCATCTTTTGCTAAGTTTAGGACTAGAAAAAGATGAAAAGTTAGTTGAACCGAGATTAAATTAAACTACGTTGATAGAAACGGACATTAATAAATAATATAATAAGGATGTTGTAGAATAACTTTAAATTTTCCCACACTTTTTGAACGTCTAGAATAAAACTTGGAAAAATAAAATCTCTGATTACAGACAGAGAATTAAGTTAATTTACTTTTAAAGATTGATAGGATAGTAATTATTTAGCTCATCTATGATAATAACTTGAAAATTATACGTTTTGAGTTATATCATTTTTAAAATAAAAGAAAATGATATATGGATCTTTAAAATTACATTTTGCGAGTTTTATGATACTAGAAACGTAAATTTTATTTGCCTATTGGCGAAAAGTACAATAATCGAGAATAAATATCGGAATACGATATATACGTACATCTGAAAAGCATTCGCCACAGACTTATTCGCTTCGTTCTCGATTTTCTCGTAGAATCACGACGTGTTTTTCTCACCCTCAGTTCATTACCGATCCAACCGGGCGTAAACAAGATCGTAAAATCCCAGTAGATCGCGTTATTCTCCTTACTTTAAGACTCGCGCGCGCATTCTCAGTCCCCGTAGACACACTAGACACACTAGACACTTGTCGTAAAATTTTCGATTTCGAATGTTTATATGTACTGTTATTTATTTTCCACAGAGAGATCATGACAGATTGACATGTAAATTTACGAGAAAGATCGTCAGAAAGAAAATGTACCTCCTCATTGTATCTTTTATTTTCCTTTGTGTTGGAATTTTAGATATCTTTTATCTTTTTCGGTAGAACTTTCAAACGTAAATATTGTATTGAACATACGATTTCTTTTTTTATTAGTATATTCTTCATATATTTTAATTTAGAAATCTCATGAAAAATGTATATTTTGTAGAATTTACAAATGTCAAACTCCATTATAAAATCCACAGAGAATATCGTTATAAACCTTAAAAATCCATAAATAAAAAAATTTTTTTATAAATATTTATAAATTCTGCTCTCATTCATTCTAAAATCTGCAAATCACAGATTCCAAAATTTTGCATCTATCGATTTTGAAATTTTTAGCTCTGTCCTTTTATTTTGCCTCTCAATTTTAATAAATTTGCACAGTAGTTGAGAAAAATTTGTGTTGAATTTAATCCATTTTACGTGTCCATCTAAATTTTATTAACTTTAATTTAACATAAAATGAATATATTAAGAATTGATATTATGTAAAAGTTAACACAAAAAATATAAAACTCTCATAATTTGTAAGCAAACTGTGCCAACATATTTCTTCAGTAAAATTGTCATTTATAATACATTACCATATTTTATTTATTTATAGAATTTACATTACCATATTTTATTTATTTTTAAAATTCACATTTTAAAATATATTATTTTTGTTATTTACTTCACTTATTCATAAATTGTATTATTTAACATTAAAATATGTTGAATATCAATTTAACGTAAAATATTTGAATGGCATAATCATTATGTTAATATAACATTTGAATACATCAAAAATTTAACACAAAAATTTTAAAAAGAACCAATTCTAACAAATAAACATGTTTCTCTATAGCTTCCGCTTATTCAGAACTCACTGGTAATGCTGATCATCACATACAAACGCATATCATTTTTTCTTTCAGAACGAAGAATTATCCTTTCCTTTCTCGTTTTACTTTTTTCAGTTCAGCTGTAAGAAACTCGGACTCTCTCTTCTAATCTGCTTCTAATTTGCTAAAGTGCATGTACACGTGACATTAAATGTAGTTTCATAAATCTGTCACTGCTTTCTTCCTAGAAAGAATGAAGATGTCCTCTTTTCAGTTCTTTAGGTCAACCTCCAACAAACTCAGACTCTCTCATTTAATCGACCTGCGTCTAATGACGCTAATAAAGTATAAACGCGCATATCACCGCTTTCTTTACTTGTCCGAGAAAAGAATCGTACGATCCCAAAATCCATTTTCAGAATTCACGAATCCTACATAATCTGCCAACAGAGATCCTACAAAATTTCATCTCATAAACTGCACGAGTCCTAAAATCCCGTAGCTCTCAGCTCTTCCTCGCTTCGACGCTTCGTTTCAGTTCTAACAAAGTTCAGACTCTAATCGTCTATAAACGCGCGTCACTGCTTTCTTCCCAGGGGAGGGAGACATGGAGTCGTGGCTGAGCGACGTTCAACGTGTGCGGATCCCGCGGCCCAAATTCGGCAGCGGCAATTCCGTGCGGCGATCGAACTCGGCGGTGCAGCATTCGACGCGCTCGGAGATGCACTCCCATCGACAGGGTCAGGACGTGGCCAAGGCCACGGAGGAGCTGCGCCAGGCGCTCCAGGACAAGCTCTGACCGACCTCGCGGCCGTCGTAGGGTTCCGGCGAGGGCGCGAGAACTTACTTCACGTACCTTCCTCGCCATCCTCGTACCTGCCTGTCATGAAGAGAGCCTGCTCGACGACGAGTGATCTCGAATCGTTGAATTTCCAATCGCCGTTATCGAGCGTTTTTAAAGTTTCCGAATTTTAAGATAATTTTTTAATGTAGATTTTTAGATAATAATTATGCGCCTAAAAATATATGAGTGTTAAGTTGTTTAAAAGCAATTTTTAGATTATATAACTGTAAAGTTATGACAGAAATGCGAGGATCTGTAAGTTTGAAAATTTAGATTTCTTTAAAGAAAAATGTTTCATTCGAGCAAAATTTGAGCATCAAACCAATTGAAATGAAATTACATTAACACATTTGAATTAAAATATATTTTTACTTACCTTATATAAAATTTTTTAGCTCTTCTTAAAAGAAGTTTTAATAATTTATATATTTAGGTTCCTTTGAAGATAAATTTTTGATTCGAACTGAATTTCAGGATCAAATCAATTAAAGATAAAACTGTATTAAGTACGGTTTAAATTTCATTTACTTGTCTTTTACAAAATTTTTTAGTTCTCTTTAAAAATTTTGGGTAGTTTATAAATTTAGATTCCTTCAAAGCTAATTTTCGCTTTGATCTAAATTTGAAACTTAATTCAATTAATTAAAATAGCGCTTGGATTAAAGTACTTTTATTTATATTCTATGAAACTTTTTAATTCTTTAATAATTAGTTTAATAATATATTAATTTAACGTTTAATAGTTATAGAATACAATTGAAATTTTTTCATAGAAAGAAACAGTAAAAGTCCGAACTGTAAACTGAAGAAAACGTTCGATGAAGCGGCGGAAATCGATTTGGCGATTCGATCGTTGTTTCATCGAGCAAGGATCTACAAAAGAATCTGCCACGGAGATACTATCACTTAGTACATCTCCGGCGAATTGGTCGGTCATGCGGAAGAGTGAGTTCGAAACGGGCGGCAGTCGTCAACTGTAAAGATCGGAACGAGGATACAACGTCGGCAACATGCGGCTTGGAGAACCAGAACTGTTCTCTTCGTTCCTGCCTGCTTCCGATCGATCGCAATTGTCGAGTGCAATTAGTCGAGAGAGGCGATTAGGCACGGGTCCTCGCGGTATGACTTATGACGAGGATCTACGAAGAAGCGTTCATGAATGGGATTCGCGAGAGACCCCAAAGAGCCCGTGGCGTTAAGGACAAAGCAATTATCGCGTGGCTTTCGACTGCCCTCAAAAACGCCGAGAAATCGCACGCGCCACTGAAGAGCGAGGTCGATTTCGATCACTTTTAATTAGCTTGTAATTAATATAAGCAACCTTGTACGCAGAGTATGCTGCAAAGTATTCCTATTAAGAAAGCATAATCTTAAGTATGTCATTAAATATAAGTTAAGACGAAATTCTTGCTTAGGTACTTAGTTTTGTAATGTTTAACCGGGCAGCGTGTCGCCTTATTTATAGTAAATTATTGTATTCATTATTATCAGCTTATATCATCTCGATATCTGTCATTAGTCACATGTAACGTCTATAGAAGTTATCATCTATTAATTCTTTACCAGGAGCTTAAAATAAAGAGTCTCGAAAGAAAGCGAGTGCTTGTTATCAATGACCTTCATTAATACGTAATCAAATTAAATGAGTATAATTAAGAATTCTTCTCTTTTGCTTTTTTGTATTGCCAAATACGTAATAATTACATTGTTTGATAAAAAGTTACTTTTTTTACCGAAGTATAATGCATACCAAAGATTTTTTTCTCGTTGCTGTGGGAAAAATTTGCTCATGCAATCAGGATTTTGAGCAAATTGAGGTAAAATAAATTAAAAATAATTTCAATTAATTTTCAATATTATTTTACAATAAAATAAAACGTTGTTTTTAAAGTTTTACGGCATCTAAAAATACATGGAAGAAAACACAGTGAAAACTTCACTGATTCAGCAAATCTATAGTCGTAATGTACAGACAGTCATTTTCTATGTTAAAATAGCAAAGTTGACAGATGAATAACACTAGCGATTTGTTAAATCATCAAATCTTCTTAGCTATCGATGTTGAATTCGCGTAGTAAATTATTTCGCGTAGTAAATTATAGGTTTGCTGTAATCCATCCAATTAATTTTTTTTCCGTGTACAATTCAAGAACGAATTTTAATTCATGATCATATCATCGTATGTTGTACGAATTTTAATTCATGATCATATCATCGTATGGCTGTTTGAATTTTCACAACGTTCTATATAGTATTACATAGATTAACAAAATTTTTTTTCTCTTCAAAATGTCATAGTATCATATCCCAAGATTTCTTCATACTGAACACAATGCTGTTGGAAAAATTTGTGTGGCACATCAGAATTCTTAGTAAATTGGGATGTAACAATAAATTAGAGTGATTTTTCATTAATAATTTATTAAATAATAATTTATTAAATTTCCTAATTTATTTCCTAATTTATTAAAAATCCTGATGTGCTATGCAAATTCTGATGACGACATTGAATTCAGTGGAAAAATCTTTGGAATATGTACGACATTTTAAAGAAAATTTTAGTGTCAAATAGTTATTATTATTGGGCCAGAACGTAAGTTCTTTTGTAGCGCTACGAACTTCAAAATTCAAGCAGCGAAATTATAATTTCGTTAAAAATGAACGAAACTTAAGTTTTGAAAGAGGATTTTAAAGCTTAAAATATCTGCTTTTGAAAGGCTATGTTCTTTTGAATGGTCATTTTTATATATAGAAAACTGAACAAAATAAGAAATTTTCTTTTCATTTTAAGAGTTTGTTATGTAGGTATTAAAAAAAATTTAGGTAGTAGGAAGTTTTCCACTTTCTAATATGAAAGCTTAAAGTTTTCCCTACAAAATTATCTTTGAAAATATTCCTAAAATTTTTTGTTATTAAGTTGTCTTGTTATTAAAAGAAGCATTTTTATTTTGATTGTTCATAATTCCGTTAAAAGTCAGCGCTAAAAAAACAAATTCTTCCATTTGAAACTTTGCTCCATCGAATATTATAATTGCTAAATTTTTTTAAAAACGTAGACATGATAGAAATGAAATAACGCTACGAATTTTTGTTCCGACTCAATATAACGAAATTTCCGCTGCCAGGAAAAAAAAGATGTAATCGATATATAAACCATGTAATCGATATGTAAACTGCTTTTAGGCTGTCTTGAATGAGTGACTAATAGCGGAATCTCATTAGAGGAAACGAGCGGCCTTAATTAGTCGATTCTAATGAGATGGCGTTTCTGCTTTCTCTCTCCCTTTCATCACCTCTCGTTCCATTTCGAGAGAACAGCTACGATGTCTGCGTAAATCACATAATGCGCAGTTGTTTTAGAATGAGAACCGAACTTCCAGATAAAGTTTTTGGCAATGAAAATTGCGATGATTGAGATATGGTTTCGTTGTGCGTTTGACGGCACAACGAAAAATTTTTCAAAAAATAATACGGTGGATTTATTATCATCGAATTATTATGTAAATTGCATTACTGGTTAATTATAGACTCCAAGTCAGACTTATTAATTTATTTAGTTTCATATTAATTTAATGTAAGAAGATAATTTAATGAAGGGATTTATAATACATGGGAGTAAAATTTAATACAGTGAAAGCGGAGTTGCCTTCTATATATTCTAATCATGAACAACTCCAGTGTTTACATTTCCGACCACGCATTTAGCATTAATATGATTATCATAACATCCGCACATTATGCGGAATAATCTAACAGAGATTTGCGTAATTACAACTTAAAGTATGGAGTAATCATACTGACTGGTAAATATCATGAAAAATATATCTTTTCATGTCAAAAACGTCGCTTTCAATTTTGTATATTTTTACTTTAAACGCGCAATAGTAATCTAATCGAGATATTGCATAATTAAAATTTAAAATATTGAGATGACGCTCCAAAGTTTAAATAAATGAAAAGCTTTTCAAATAAACAGAAAAAAAATAGAAAAATTATTTTCGTATTTTACATTAAATATTTATGAAATCAAATTAATATTTTCTGTATATATTTTGAAGATATTTTATATTTAAATTTTTCATATGAATTTAAATTTATTCTAAAAAAATTTGCATCACAATAAACTAACACATTAGAGTGTTTATTATTTATCCGCTAGCGCAATATCACTTGTTTTTGTAAATTCTGATTGCTTTTCCCATTCTCCTTTACATAACGATGCTTTAAAATAGAATACCTTCTATTCACAATTTCCTGTTCACAATTTTTAACTTTGACTAAATATTTGCTTACTAGTATGCTTTAAATTTCCTTATTTTTTTGTTTCTTTGCATAGAAACTAAATTAAAATACACATTAATATTTTTTTTGTTCAAACATGAAAAAGTCCAACCTATAGATAAATGCAATCCAGTTCACGTGTTTTTTCTTTTTATTTTACTAAAAACAATATTTATTGAAATTTTTTAGGTATTGTATATCCATGTAAAATTCGGTGAAAAATGTGGTTTTTTTTTTTTTTTTTTTTTTTTTTTGATGAAAGATAACATTGCTTTTTCAGTTTTGGATATCCCTATCCTAAAATTACAATGATAATCTTATTGTGATATTGTATACTTAGGACTTTAAATATCGAATAATTGTTTCGGCGTAAAATATCGTGAAAGTAGATTTTTTCACAACAAAAGATTGCATCTCTTTTAATTTTGGATAAATCTATCTAAAAATCACAACAATAAATTAATTGAATTATTACATAATCAATTTAGAATTGATAGGCGTATCGGTGAAATTCGATCAAAAATGTACTCTTTCGCAATAAAAGGTTATGTGATTTTTAGAGTTTTGGCTACTCCAACATTAAAATTATAATAACAATTTAGTGAAGATATTACATATCTAGAATTTAGATATTTAGAAAAGCTGTAATATCGAACAATTATATTGGCGTAAAATATGATTAAAAAATGTTTTTTTATTTTTTCGTTACAAAAGGTCACATCAGTTTTGAATATTTCTATCCTAAAATCACGATAATAATCCACTCGGGATATTGCAACTTAGAATTGAAAATATCGAGTAGCCGTATCAGCGTAAAACACAGTGAAAAATGTGTTTTCCTCTGCGAGAGGTCACATTGCTTTTAATTTTGAATATTTCTACCCTAA